TCAATAAAATCCTGGGCTGCAAGTACTTACCTTAATATTTAAAAAAAAAAAAAAAAAAGAATCTTAATAAAATACTAGTATAACTGCTTAAGGTTAAAAAAATATATATATATATATAATAAAAACAATTTGAAAGATAGTATTTTAGTAATTAAAATAATAATCAGAATTTACAAAAAATATGTTTAGAAGTAAATTTTGAAAATATTTAATAACTCTTGATATTATTAAAAAATATTGCTCTAATTTTGTGAATATTATAATTGGTAATAATTTTAATTATATAAATAACTTGGTTTTCTTATTAAAGTGGTATTTACTTTTCATAAACTTACAATTTAAGATGGTGCTTCATTATTTAATAGTGATAGAATTTTACCAATATTTAAAGAACTGAATATAATAGTAAACATATTAATTCTTAATTAATTATATAATATTAGTTACTTTAATGACAACTTTATTTAAAAATTAAAATGTGTTTATTATATATTAAATGTTTTATTGCAAAGGTAATACTGATTCACATATATTTATAAGAATATATACTTATAGAGAATTCAATTATAAATCAAAAAATGTGTACTTATAAAAGCAAACTTATGTAAATATATATTTATAATAGGTTAACTATACAAAGCTTTAGACAATCTTTATTTAAAAAATAATAATTACCTCAATAAAAATTTACAAATTACTACATAACTAATAATAATATATAATATATTTGTATTTCTAATCTTATTTTTAATATTATCTAATAAAATTTTTATAAATTGACAAAAAATTTAATTTGTTATATATATAATATTTATATAGATTATTTTAGAGCATGAAAATGATTTCAAAATACAAGTTAAAGACATTTTTTATAACTGAGCTTTTTATGAAAATATTGACTTATTGCATTTATTCTTTATTCTTTTAAATTTTCTATTAGATGTCTAGAATTAAGAACTTCTAATCTTGCTAATTGCTATATTTATTTAATATTATTGATGAATACAATTTTTTATTTACCAAATCAAAATATGAAGATAAGTTGATAGATATGCACCAAATATTTTTTAGTAAAATATTTTTGCAACTTTAAACAAAAATAATTTAACAAGAAATTATTCAAATCTAATAAAAATTTTTTTAAATAAATTCTATAAAAATTTAGAATTAATTTAAAAAAAAATTTATTAAATATAGTTAAGTTCTTGCTAAGTTATTTGAACTTAAAGTTTTAAAAAAATTTATTTAAAAAAATCTGGTATGTTTTATTAACTTACTCTTATATAGTATTTAAAAATTACTGTATTGAGAAATTTAATTGTTATTAGACTGAATTTTTTAATAATATTTATTTATTAGCTTTATTCTTATATTTATAATATTATGTAATGCTATATATATAAAATATTTAATTAAATTTTTTTTATACATATATATATAAATAAATAAAAATATATTTTTTTAGATAATAGTATCAATTTAAAAAAATTCTATAATATTAGTATAACAGCTGAACAAATTTAAAAAAATATAAAATATACACAAGACCATACAACAAACTATTATCTTAACTATGAAAATATAAAAATAAAAAAGCACTATTTGATCAATTATATAATTTTAAATTAGATATGCCAATTATTTGGTAGGATACTATACAATATAAAAAGAAAGAATAGAAATTACAAGCATTAGCACTTTATCTTTTTGTAATAACTTTATATAATGCTTCTTGTAAGTATTTTTGCTTAGTTTTTAGTTAGTTTTATAATCAAAGACATACTAATTTGGCTGCAGAGTGGGTGAAAAGGATGTGCAAATTATATATTTTTTATATTACTAATATAAAACAAAAATTATCTTATTATGCAATTGATATGTCTAAAAATTTATTATATAACTAACTAATTAATTTAGTTATAGCAATTAATAATAAGATTAATGAAACTATTAATTTTTTAAATACCAATACTAATAATTATGATAATCTTAATACAGAAATAAATATCAATATATCCAAAATGTATATTTTAAATATTATGAATAGTATAGATATTGGGTTACAAATATTTAACATAGATAAAAAAACAAATAATAAAATAATAAGCAGTTCAAGAAGACAAACTATTATATTAGATTTACAATACAATGATTTTGATATTGAAACATTAGCTAGAAATATGTTAATAAAAATTAATAATGACAAAAATTCTTAGATTATATAGTATATATTTTGTTTATTTTAAAGAAATAGCAAAATAAATTTTTTTTACTATGTTGTATATATTTTTTAAAAATGGCAAAACACTTATTGTACCTTAAATGTAGTTAAACTAACATTTTTTTAGAAATAAATTTAACATACTGACAACTTAAAAAATATTTACTTTGAGTTTCAATTTATAAAAAATAAATTTTGGCTAAATTTTAGATTTTAGCAAGAGTTTCAGGTTTTAGCATAAGTTTTAAATCATTGTTTCAAACTTTTAGTTTTGTTAAAACTATTAAAAGTTTTAATCATATATATAATCTGTAACAGGTTAAGTCACTGATTTTAATCACTATCTTAAATCATGATTAAAAACTATTTGTATTTAGAAATTTATTATTACAAAGTTAAAGTTAAATATATAAAAATAATTTGGATTATTTATTTTTTTTATGATTTTATAAATTAGGTTGATATATAGCAAAACCATGCTTTGAGTATATATTTTATATATGCTTAGAGCATGATTTTGCTATATACTAATTCAATTAATATTTATTTATCTGATATGAATAAAAGTTTAAATAACTTATTATCTTCTAATAAGACTTACTGTAAAAAAGACCCAATTTTTTAATAAAGTGCAGGTTATATATATATATTTTTTTTAAAAAACTTATAAAATGAATTAAAAAAATAAATAAAAATAATATTTTTAGCATCATTTCATTTTTAATATTAATTTAAACTGCCAAAATATTAGGCTAACATTACAAACTTTGTTAGATAAATTCAAAAATCAGTATAATGTAACAAAAATAATATCTTTTAAATATTTGTTATAATTTTAGTCATAACTATTTAATCAAAAATGCTATGAAAATATAAGTTTACAAATAAATGATATAAAAGAAAGAAGAATTTAGCTCTTTAAGTTATCTTTATTTAAAAAAGATAGAAGTAAGTAAAAAAAAGTATCTTTTAAGAAAGAATATGCTAAACAACAGTATAGTTAAAAAACAATATATGAGATCTTTGCTATGAATTTTTTTACTAAAAATAGATTTATTATGATTTTCCTAATTAAAATCTTGTGTAACAATGACTTGGAGGATCATTTTGTTAGCAAAGCTCCTATATTTTTTTTTAAATATTAACAGTGAAAAAAAACAATATATTGTTTGTTTTGCTTAAGTAATTATAATATACTAGTGAATTATTTATGTGATATTCATTATTTTAATTTTAAAAATAGTTGATTTTTTATATAAATATTTGTTTAGTTAATATCAAAAACAATTTTTGAATTTATATTATTTTTTTTAATAGTTTATAACAGTCAAGTGATTAAAATTAGTAGCTTAACTGTTACAGATTATAGACATGCTGACGTATATAATGCACAACATCTTTTTTTTCCTTCTTTGGCAGCCTTGCCATTAACCTTTATTAAGATTTGTATTTACAAATTTGTACATACTTTGATCTAATTTACTGGCTCAACATCCTTTAGTTGCTTTAGTGAATGCCCAAAAACAGTCTGCTACACTGGTTGGAGTAGTACCCAGTTCTAGAAGCTGTACCAGACTAGCCTAAATGACCATATGAAAATGGTTTTACATAGTGCGCAACATCTAATCACATCAAAAATCTTTAATTTTTTTGAAAACTAAATAACTAAAAATAATACAATTAATATTTTAAAAAAACCTTTTATAAATTTATTCTTTATGCTTAAAAGAATATATTTATAGAAAGTTTTTTAAAAAAAATTCATTTTAATATGAAGTTATTTTATCTTAAAATTACTATTATCTCAAAAAATTTCAGCACTATTATATAAAAAAATTAATCTTGATAATAAAAATTTAACCAACCAAATTTATTTTTTAAGTAACTTTTTAAAATCAAATTCATTTCTATAAGTAATGATCTGCAAAATTTTCAGAATCTATGATGTTTTTAGATGTCTTGCACTGTAGTAATTCGGGGTTTTTTAATTCTGGCGCAATTCCAAAAATGCGCCCGAATGCCTCTGTATAAGTTAAACCTTATACCACTCCAAATCGATTCTTTGTTTAACATAACATAAATATTTTACGAGAGAGAGGGAAGGATAAAAAAATCAACAGTAAAAAATAAACATGGCAATTCTATTGGCTAAAAAAAATGTAAAAAAATGTAGAAACTAATACTGCAATTTGATTGGTTAATTTTTATATTAGGTTATGTTAAACATAGTTTTAACTTGGCGTGGACTATTATAATTTCTGATTAAAAATTAGCCGAATGATTTGTTGACCGATTCGGTTAAGTTTGTAATTTCGGCATAATAAATCCAATAAAATTGTAGGCTAATATTATACAAGTTACATAGAAACTTTTGGACAAAGGCCCCAAAGGGAATCCTTAAAGCCGGGTTAAGGTTAGAGTTACTTTTTTGATGCAGTCAGTGTATTATTTATATATGGATATCAAGAATACGATTTATGCAGTGTGTAGGTTAATATGTCAATTGATCTATTTACACGTGATCAGAAATATTCGTAGGTGATTGGTGATTTCCGATGCTTAAATGAGATAATACCCGCAGTATATAATAACTCTTCAATAATATTATTCGAAAACACGGAATATTTGAACATAAAATATATTCAGAGAAACACTTTTATGTGATTTTTCAAGTAAGGCGTACTAATTAATTTGGAAATCATTAACTTGTAGCCACGATCTAAAGATCTAACAAGCAAAAATCTTTACCGGGCACTTCAACAATAAAAGACTTACAAAAATGTCTGATATGCTGGACGATGACATTACTATGAGCGAGTACATGGAGGAGTTGGATGTCGAATGGCCCTGTAAGTTACCACAAGGAAAAGGACAATGATTTTCTCGATAAATCTAATTTTTTTCTTTGAATAGGTTCAGAAAATGGCCCTTCCGAACGAAGGCCTTCCTGGTTTTGGGTCGGTACTGTTTTTTTTACGTCTTATTAAGTGATTGAATTTTCGATGAAAATTTTTTAATCTTAATTACGTTAGCTCCGTGAAGTGACTTCACAAGACGCAGAAAATGGGATGGATGTGGTAAAGTAGTTTCCGATTTGTACACAATATTCCATTATTTGATAGAGATTTTAATCTTTTTTTTTGGTTGAACAAAAGCAAGGAATTACATGGGATTCCTTCAACGTTACTCGTCAGCGATATCGTGAATTACGGTGTGTGCTCTTATTTTTGTTTTTCATAAGCTTTCGCAGCGAATTAATAAATACTTAACCAAAATTGTATTTATTCAGACTTATAGACTATAAAAACTATGAGAATGTTCAAAGATCGCATGACGAAATCAAAAAGGTTTGAACATTTCTTCTTTTATACATTATTTTGGAAAGTCATTATTTAACATTACATGTACGATTTTCTATCTTAGGAAATTAAACCTGTTCGGACAGATTCTCAATTTTACAAGTTCAAATACACCACGCTTTCACATAAATGTTCTATTGTACATTTTCAGTTGCGAAATTTATTGTGGGCAACCGGAAGAAATGACGTGTTTTATACATGTGAGTTATTGCTATTCGGATAACTTTTTAATTGGCACAATTTTCTAAATATAATTTTATCCTTAGATTCTTCACGTATTGGATACTGGAATTCAATAATGAAAAAATCTAAAGTAGCATTGGATCTGAATTATAACAGTCGTAACGCAGATAATCCTTTCGAAATTAGCACAATCGCTTGCAAGGATAATTATTTACTTGTTGGTGGTATGTTTGGAGATCTTATCATATTAAATTTATATTAAAGAGGTAGTACATTATTAATTGTTTTAAACATTTTTAGGATTATATGGTGAATATGCGTGTCGAAGGCTTGATGCAGATCCTATCCATTTTGGCACAATAACCACAGATAACAATGGGATAACAAATCATATGGATATCATTGAATCACGAACAGGAGGTCAGTCGTGTATATTATTTGTTTCGGTTCTATTACTTTGCTTAAATAGTATATTTTTTCATTTATCAGGCATTGTTTCAGTGATATCAAGCAATGATAAAAAATCTCGAATTATGGATCTTGCAACATTGAAATTTATTGACACTTATGACTTTCAATGGCCAGTCAATGTATATATCGTGAATATTTGCGATCATGTCTCCTTAAATAATGAAGTTTCAATATTTATTTACAATTTCATGTGAAATTCACAGTGTACAGCAGTGAGTCCAGACAAAAATTTATTGTGTGTTGTTGGCGATGATACTGACACTGTTGTTGCAAGTGCTGACTCAGGAAAACGTATGTGATTCTATCCTTTCTTTTTTTTTTTGATATACGTAAGGTCTAATGCTTTTAATTGTTGTAGATATTGCGACTCTTAAAGGTCACATTGACTATTCTTTTGCATGCTGTTGGAGCCCAGATGGACGGATTATCGCAACAGGAAATCAAGGTACATAATACTGGAATGTAATAACATTATGTATAATTGCTTCATTGATTTAACGTTGTATGTGTATTATACAGATAAAACAACCAGGTAGACAATTAAATGTAATAGTGGCTATAATAATATTGTCAGATTATAGGTATATTATGTTGCTGTTCTTATTCTTAGGTTGTACGATATGAGGAATTTGTCAAAAGCATTCAACGTACTGGGTGCGAAAATAGGTGCCGTGAGGTCACTTCATTTTTCTGAAGATGGACGTTATTTAGCCATGGCAGGTTCGTGTCCATTTTGTGTTCATCTCGAATTAGAAGATTAAGCAAATAACTTTGAAATTTTTTTTTTACAGAACCGGCTGACTTCGTGCATATATTCGATGCACACACATTTGATCGATCTCAAGTAATTGATTTGTTCGGAGAAATTGCGGGTGTTACTTTTACTCCAGATACTGACGGATTATACATAGCGAATGCCGATGAAAACTATGGGTACGTTCTTTACCTTAATTTCTATTCGAATTGAATATTTACTTTTCACACGCTCATTTCTGCTGTGCAATTTTAGATGTATCCTGGAATATGAAAGGATTCATTCAATAAACCACTTAGGAAATATTTTCCTATAATGTGACTTGTAATGTTTATATAATTACTAGTTCTTTAAATAGTTTTAGAAAACAATTCAATCCTTTTTATCACGTTTGTATACTATTATCATGTGTTCATCTCTGTTTTGTGGCATTTTTACTCTTTTTTTCGTCATCTCGTTACTTGTTAGGCCACTTTCGTTATTAATTGCAATATTTAAGACTACAGTATATTAGCAAAATAAGTGATATTGAATAGTCATTGCTCTAAATAATGTAAGTCAAAGCAATTAGAACTTATCGATGAGCGTGATTTAGTATATATCCATTAAAGCACAAAAATAAATTATTTGTTAAAATCAAATATAGTTGTAATAGGTGTTTTTGCTAGTTAAGTGCTGACAAATATATATTTATTAATTATAATATGGTTTATTATTATTTTATTGTTAAGGTGTGCTTTTGTTTAGTAATTATATAATTTATAAAAGCTAATCACAGTTAATAAATTGAAAATTTTGTAAATACGACCTATCAATAATTGTAAATAGGAAGTAAATGTGAAATATTAACATATTGCCTGCATAATGGGCATTCAGGCTTTTTAATAATAAAAAAAGATTAATATATTGATTTTTCAAAAGTTCTAATGGACAAAAATACTTTATTACCTTATTTTGGCACCATTCAACGATACAAGACCAACAGAACAAATGGCCACAAGTAGTTGCTGTTGTATTTTTACGCTGTGAAAGACAAAGAGTGCATTTGCGAGCTGCAATTTCTTGAGGCGTGAGGTCCGAAGTTGATATCAAAGTAAAATCTGTTTCGTTACTATTGTGTTAATAATCGTAAGAATTTTTTGGGGGAGTTTAAAAAAAGCAACAAATAATCTCAATTTAACACACTCAGCGCCATCGTCGTTATTGTCTAAACCACTATTTTTTGCTGAAGCATCTTTTACGCGTCTTTCACGAAGATATTCCTGGACAAGGATTTGAGTAATAAGCAAAAATCCGAGAACTTCGTATCCGATACGTTTCTCCCCAGGATTCAATTGCCTGGTAAAAATCTGATATACAACAATCAGAATATAAAATACAGGACTGTACATTTCTAAATAAATAAAAGTGTTAAAATTGATATTACATATCGAATCCCCGCCGCCCGTTTCGATAAACTGTAGTAAGCACCGTAAAAATAAAATATAGCAAGATGCAATGCATGGATATTATTTTTTAGAAATGATGGGATAATTGCAAGCAATGTGTGAATAAGTTCACGTAGTTTATCTGTGGGCGAACGCGAATGCCAACGCAGTTTAGTGATGCCCCGTGTGTACAGATATGGAAAAACCACATGCCAGAATAACAATATTGCACGATGCTGCGTATTTAAAATTTTTAAAATGTATAGTTGACAATGTTATATAAAAACAAATTGAGCCTACCTTTGTAGATGGGGCTTGTTTAGATGTTTCTAAAACCTGCATTATATCACAAGATTCTTCACCCAATGTTTGAGTGCCTTGATAAATTTTAAAAAAATGAAAAGGAATGACACTTGTAAAAAGTGTGAAAAATGTAACCATAAAAAATTACCTAGCAGAGTTGTCAAACAAAAATAAAAGAAGTTGGACAACAGATTTATTTCTTCTTTGTTTAAATGTTGTCTACGTGTACCTGATGCAAGTATTAATGTAACTTCTTTACTTTGTAAATAGGTAATAATAATGAAATAAAATATGTATCATAAAGACACACCAAAGAACAATCGAAAAATATCAGACATTTGATCCTCTAGAATCTTTTGATAATAAACATCTTTTTGATTTGCTCGAACTTTATTTAGCAGTAATAAATGTAATATCAAAAAATAATTGGTAAGATACAATTTAAACACCAAGAGAAAAACAATGTTTAGGACAGTATAATAAGTAGAGTAACCTATATCAGGTTGAGCGGCGTAAGGGAAAGTAACGTTAAAAAGCGACGATGAGTGCACTTTTAATTCCTGATCTTTATTAATTTTGGTTTTTGAGAAGACATCTTTATTAGACATGTTTATAGCACGTAGTAAATTTATTCAGTGCCTTTATATAAATGTAATTGTCCAAAGGATATTACTGCGGTCAAGGAATATACCGAATTTTGGGGACGTTAAAGCCAGGTACCAGTTAGTGTTACTTTTTTGATGCAGTTGGGATTAGCGGGTTATATATATATCAAGAATACAATTTATGCAGTATGTAGATCATTATATGAATATACCTGGACCCCGAATTTGGACATTGGTGTCTAGAATTCTGCGGTACATAAATCAGTCCTTTTTATAAAAACTATAATAAAGTAAAAAAAAACATATAGAAGGTTTCTCATTCATTTGAAAAAGTTAGCTTAGTAATAAGTTGATTTTATCAGGTTTTGAGAAGTTATTACTATACTAACTTTTTTAAACGGACGAAAACTAGATCTTATTTTTTGGCTATGGAGTTCTACAGCTCTAATGAACCTTTTTTTTTTTTTTTTTATGATTAGTTTTCGTTTTTAAAAAGTGCTTAAACTGTATAAATAATACAAAATTGAATTTATTAGCCAATCAGACGAACTTCTACTTATGACAACTAGAATTTACAAAACTATAATTTATACAGCTCGCTTTTAAAAAAATTTTTTACATGTAATTTTGATCAATTAGATCACAATATCAGATGTAATGTAAAATTACATTTCTTTAAAATTTTTATATATGAACTTGTTTTTGATGTTTTAATAAAAACTACTTATAAAACTTTATATATATTAAGTTTTTTTTTTAATCTTAATTTAACTTTAACAATAAGGTTTTAATATTTTTATCTTATATTTTATTTAATTACAGTCAAACCTTTCTATAATTACACCTTTGGTTTTAAGAATTGATGTTTATAGAGAGTTTGTGCTTATATTAAGGTTAAATTTTATAAATGTTATATAAGTTGTGTTTAAAATTTTATATAATTTTAAACAAATGTAATTATAGAAGAAGTAACTATAGAAAGGTCTAACTGTATTTTAATAAAATCTAGTTATGTAAAAAAAAATTTTTTAAAAATATAATAGCATTGAAATTTATTAATTATTTTTTATTTTATAATAAAAATTTATATATTAATTAAATTTAATTTAAAATATTATTATTTTTTTTTATATATATTTTTTTTATTTATTTTTTTTATAATACTAACTTGTAATTTTATCTTTATTAAATTAATATTAGTCAGTCAAGATGTCATGTAAAATTTTTAATAGTAGATTAAATGATCAATGCACCTAAATTTTATATGTAAAATTTGAGCAAAATTTGCTTTCTAAGCTTATTTAATAATAAAGAAATTTTCAGGTTAATTTCTAGATATTATTTTATAAATTCTTTAGCATTTGAAGATTCTTTTTGTGAAATTTTAAGGACGGTTAAAAATAAAATGCAAAAAAATCTTAGTTGTGAAGTTGGCCAATCTTTTTATGATTTTTACTGTTTATTTATATGTGATAATAAGTGATATACATTATTTATTCCAAATAAGTAATAAGATTATGTCTATTAAATTTATTCATTTGACATTTACTTATTACCTATTTTGGATAAATGATGAAAAGATTGGCCAACTTCATAACTAAGATTCTTTTGTATTTTATTTTTAACTGTCCTTAAAATTTTACAAGAAGAACTTTCAAATACTAAAAAATTTGCAAAATGATACTCAGAAATTAACCTGAAAATTTCTTTATTATCAAATAAGCTTAGAAAGCAAATTTTGTCTAAATTTTATATATTTAATCTTATATGAAAAAATTTGTGCACATGATCTACATAACATCTTAATCAATTGATATTAATTAACACAGGTCGAACGAATGAATAAAAGATGAATAATAGGTAAATAACAGAAAAAAAAACTGCCATTATTCTACCCTATATCCGCTAAATAATAGCAGTTTTTTTTTCTGTTATTTACCTATTATTCACCCTTTATTCATTCGTTCAACCTGTGTAATTATCTGGTTTTTTTTATAATACATCTATACTATTATTATATTATTATATATTAACACCCAATATAATATTATATCTACATTTTTTTCTATTTATTTTTATTTTATTTTTTTAATATTAAGGTAAATACTTGCAATCCAGAATTTTATTAATAGTATATTTGCCTAATAGTTGCATTACAACTACAAAAAATAACTATAGAAAAAGTATACAACTAGCCTCTTATACAACTTTAGGTATTGTCTAATTTAAATAGTCTCTCCAAAGGTTTTACACTAGTTGCTATACATAAAACCTACTTGTAGGTTTTTTATTTAACTACTCTAGTTTTCATATCTACTTACCTACTTCTGTTTATCAACAATTCTGGCCAATACTAGTAAAAATATGCCATGGTTACTAAGTCTTTAAAACAGTTTTTTGAAACCTTTGATCTTGTACTAAAACTTTCAGAATCTTCTGTATTTTATTCTTACAACTAACCTAGTATCACTATAACTGAGATCAATACTGACAGTCAGAATATATTATTAAATTGCTATACTCTTTTAGAGTTCACCTCAATTCTAATACTAACTTCACAACATATCTCTACTACTTTGGTATTCAATTCAAGTTCTACTAAATTGTTATTTCAGATAGCTCAAAAAGATAGATTATAACTATACCTTTAGTTTACATGTTTGCTAGTATGTACTCTTTTTTTTTGAAATCTAGAAATTCTGGCAGCCTAATTGATTCATCTAGTTCCTTCTTAAAGACTAACACATTTGCCTAATTTTACAAGTTCTAGTTTTGTTTTATAGATCTAGTCTTTATAGTAGCATTATCAAAAATTTAAGTTACCTCTCTACTTGGGTCTTTCAAGTAGGTTTCTATCTTTCTATTTGGTTCTTGTGATTTATATAACCTAAGGACTTATCTTAGATTTACATCACCTGGTACCAGTTTGTATTTCTTTGTACAATGTTATATAAGTGTTTAGACCTTTCAGTTATGCTAGTATGACAGATTACAGATATTTAATTTTAACTAATCATAAAAGACAGTTAACTATAATATAAAAAGAATTACAAATTTTTACTATTACTAGGATTTGAACTCTAGACCAGCCACTTGGAGGTTGACACCCTATTCACTTCACTAGATTTTCATACTTTTATTTTTTCTATTTATTATAACTACATATTGTATTTGTTATTACTAACTTAAAGTAAATCTATAAATATCTGTTATACTATATTGTTCTAATATATTATCTGACTATATATAATTTTTCTATCTACTTTTTGCAATAATCTTTTTTTTTTTATATTAATAAACTTTATTAGTTTTTTACTTTTCTTGCTATCAATTTGGTATATTAATTTAGTCTTTTAACTAACTATCTTATTAGATTTATTAAGTTTCAGATTGTTAATTTGCAATTACTAATATTTTTTTTATATAATTCTTATAGTTGATATTAGTTATAATTTAAACATTTATACTTTTTACAAATTGTAAATATACTACTAATTTTGTACTACTGTACTACTTAGTGTTCTTATAAACCTGAACTAAACTGAACTTTGATCAAGTTCAGATTCAGTATTGAACTTTTAATTCAAATTTAGATTCAATTCAGGTTCATAAATTTTAAGTTTAGTTCAGATTTAGGTTCAATGATCTGCAAAATTTGAAGTTCAGTTTAGATTCAGATTCAATAATCTGCAAATTTTAAAGTTCAGTTTAGATTCAATAAACTTGGTTCATGACCTAAACTAAACTAGTAACACTAATTTTGAATTTTTTTGTCAAAAAATCAAAAATTAAGCATCTTTTCTTTAAAGTTAAAAAATAAAAAATAAATATATACCAATATAATCTATTTTTATATATAGAACAAAGTTATTTAAAAAATAAAAATAAAAGTAATTAGTAAAATTTTGATAATTATAATATTTTTTATAATTTTATTAATAAAATTATAAAAAATATTATAATTCTTAAAATTTTATTAATTAATTCTATCTTCATTCTCTAAGTAAATTTGTTCTATATATAAAAAATATATATATAATATTGAATCTGAACATGTTTATGAACTTTGAACTAAACCTGAACTGAATCAAATTTTAAGTTCAGGTTCAATTTAAGTTTATAAATTTTAAATTCAGTTTAGGTTCATATTCAATAATCTGCAAAATTTAAAGTTCAGTTTAGGTTTAATGAACTTAGTTCATGAATCTAAATTAAACTAAACTGAATCTAAAAACACTAGTACTACTAGTCTAGTGTTGCAAGAGTATCTAAACCTTAACTTATAATATACAGATATGATAACTATTAATAATATTATAATATACAACTACTAATTTTGTTTTTATTTAGAATTTTTATAGTACTTATTTAAAATGTTTTAATTATAGTTAAATTAATTTTTTTTTACTGATTTTCTTTGTATGCATCATTTTGCTTACTATTTTAATTTTAGTTATATTTAATATTACTCTTTTAATTAAGTACTTTGCAAGTTAAATACAGAGATATTAATACTGCACTGTCTTTTAAAAAACTTATTGTATAGTATAATACTTATATAACAGAACCTTTTATAATATTATTATTAAATATAATATCTTTTTTTTGAAAAATTGATTTTTTTTTAGAAATTTCTAATCTATTTTTGTACTTTAGTTCAAAACTTTTTATAAAACTTTGCATTTAATTTAATTCTATTTTAGATTATAAAATTTAAAATTTTTAAATTTTACTTTTAGTCTAACTTGAACTGTTGATCTTATTTGTAGAGAATTAGCAGCTTAACTATTAAGCTATAAATTTCAATCTTCTATTTTGTATATTAAATAATAAATTTTATAAAAAATAATTAATAAAATAGGGGATGGGGTCCCGTAGCCTAGTAGTCTAGGTGCCCCTCCCTCCACAGACAAGGTCGATGGTTTAATTCCAGCTGGAGGCAACTCTGTAATCTATAGAAGCATATAAATGTACGTGAAGCCCTGTGGCTAAGTCCATGTGAT